ATCCTGAGTGGAAACCTTACCCCATTCTGTGTCTCCTCTTTAGGAAGTACTGGTCTCAGTCTCCTGGTCTGTTTTTAAAAGGATCAAATAGAGCATGATGGGTTGCCTCCAGGTAATGACATCCTTTTCCTATCATCTCCTTGATGGGTGATGTTTGGGAGCTCCCTGAAGTTCAAAACCAACAGCTCATCAGAGAGGTTCAACACTGCAGTTCCAGGATGCCAACAGCAGCCCAAAGGTACATGCGGGGTTGGGCCTGACTACTCTGTCCCACAACAGCCTCAAAGGTTAGAAATATTGCAGCTTCCTGTAGCAGCAGGATTGGTCTGTTTTTCATAAACTAAAAGCATTCCTATTTCCTACCAAATTAATCTTTTAGAGTAATACTTTTCATAATTTATGTTATTTCATCCATTTTAGAAAGGGCAAGCCACAGATAGAGTGGAAAGTGATTCACATGAGATCACCAAAAATTTCCACTCCTTCCAGCATCCTAAATCTTTAGATTTCAGACCTGCCTCACTTCACCCCAAATCCCTGACATCAAGCCCTTTTGTCATTCCTCATCAGGACAGAGAGCAAAGAAATCAAATGCTGGGGAAGACATCAGGCTGGAAAGACAGATTGTTTGCTCATTTGCAGAGCTGGCCTGGGTTTGACATTCAAGAGCCTACATGGATGAAGTGAATAGAGAACTGTAATATTTATCCGGATATTTGATTTGGCTATAGGTGAATCTTCATTCTCTCCATACTGCCTTCCACCACACATGAATCTGCCTCAAATATCAATATATCTTAGGTACCTGATTTTAACCTAAATTACTAAGATAGCTGCTTGCCATTTTCAATTTGGCGGATGGACAAAGCCTCAACTTAAACTTGAAGACAGAGGGATGTATCTCAGTCTTTAATTTTGACATATTCTGTGCATTCCTTGATTTGCTGAATGGCTGGTTGGCTACATAGGACAAGTGAAAGAACGTGGTGGCTTCAGGATAGTGTGTTAGGAATTTGTGTGTGTAACAAAGTTGACACCAATACAAGGATTCTGAAGAGTACTGAAAAGTCAGTAATATAAATAGTTAAAACTAGCACACTCAAAGGCCACTATTTGAATCTCCTAGACATCCAGACTGTCTTAGACATGACACTAAGGGAGCCATTACTAGGTCATAGGAATCATGTACATATATGGAGGTGGACTTTGATAAGAAGCCTCAGGGTACCCTCAACTCCAAAGAAGGCCACTGTGAATCCCAAAGGATTGCTGACCCCTACTCCATATGCTTCAGAAGCCCTTATCCTAGCTGGAATAACGAGTAAAATGCTTGAAATATATAAAAAGTACCACCCATACAAATATCTATTTGTTAAAATATGGCTTTTGTTGAGGCTAATTTCAATAAGAAAAGTAATATCCTCATTTCTATGACTAAGTCTTAGAATGTGGAAAATTTCTCATGCATAGGCCCTTCCCTGAGCAGTAAGAGGGGCATTTAGTCTGATTTATTGATAGAATGAGGGGAAAGAACCCATTAGCTTTATCTTTTCTTAAAATTGTGAACTGATAAATTATGAGCCTGATGGAAAATAAATTTACTGAAGCTATAGGAAAGCTTAGCGTGGCCAGGTTCTGACGGGCTGCCTTGTAGGCCATGGTGGCCATTAGACTGAATCATGATAACAGGTCTTCCTTTCATGACTGCATGGGATTGCCACATTGACATTTCCATTAGTCTGAAGAGGTTCCTTGCTGTCCCTACAGAACATGTTAAGAACCAGGATCCAGGCAATCATGCCTTAAAATGTCCTCTCTGATATGTTATTATGTATGGGGTTTGGGGGAGAAAACATCATATGGCTTGGTTGTGGTCCCTTCAACAAGAAACACAGTGGTAAGCAGACTCAATAGGCAGAAGATGATTCAAGAGTAGGCAGTGTGGCAAAAGCAACAGACAGACAAGGTGATCATAGGGTCCACTGAACACATTCTGAAATTAGCACAGCTGTCACAGTAAGATGAAAGGTGCTGGTCTAACAGACTGAAACAGTAGTCTGCTGAGCAACACTCCCAGGTCTCCACAGAGTAGCGTTTTTATTGCAGTATGTCTTTCATGGAAAATGAACAAAACTTTAAATAAATCACAATTACTTATTGCTTAGTATTTTGGATAATAAATTCTTTAGTTTATCAGTACCTCACGGCCTTCAAATGTGCATTCTTCAAATAGTTTCAATTACATATACATTCTTTCTCCTGAACAATAAATTATTCTTTAAAAAAAAAAGAAAAAGGAAAAGATACATAATTTTAAAGCAAAGAAAAACAAAAAAACATATATTTTTGACATTTACCTTAAACTTATATGAAAACAACTCTATGTTAGATGCTTAAATATAAATAATAAAGGACATTATGTTATTTACAATGTTACACAGTAAGTTGAGAGGGTAAAAAACTGACATTAACTCATAAAGACAGTAAATGATTTAGGAAAACATCCAAGTAATGTACAATGTGTATTTACAAAAGAATATATAATAGAACTTGTGATATGTGGCCATTTCTTTTTGTCTGCATTTCTCTGCAGTGTTTCATGGATCTTTGCAGATAGAAATCTCTGTGGCTGGTGGAAGACAGCCAGCACTAAAAGGTAAAACCTGGCCTTCCTTATTTTCACCTATGTGAGCCATGTACCTTTCAACTCCAGGCCAAAAAAAGGAATATTTACTGAGCAAGTTACCCTGGATAAACCTCACCTATATCAAGACAGTCATACTTAAACAGGGAAGATATGGTATGTTGGTGTTCGGGATACATTCACATATACCCAGGCAGAGTGTTATTTTGCAGAAAGCATGAGGCTGTCCAATCACTCTTGAAAAAAAAGACATGCCAGGCAACAAGGGAGAGTAGGACAGAAAAGGAATCTTGAGTGCGAAAAAGGAGTTTTGCATATACTATGCCCCACTGCATACCCCTCAGTGGGGTATGATTTCAGACCCAGGAAACAAAGTTGCTGACAAACTTCTGGGCAATTTTTACTACCTGAAAACTTATGAAAATTCTCCATATGCTGGGAACATAGGTTCCTACTCCTTCTTAGAATTGCCTCTGCACTGCCTGAGTTTATAAACAGGGATGGTTGAGAGCAATGTGGCAATTAGACATCACAGAGGTGTCCCTGTGGACACAAATCTGGTGGCCACAGCAGGTGGCCCTGAGGAGTCAGCTGGCCTTTGTTATCAGGGGAATCTCTTGTTCTATGGATGGAAAGGCCGTCCCAACTAATATGACACCTCTGTGAGTGACCAGAAGCAAGTTGGAAATAAAATTTCCTCTTGCCTTAATTTGCACATATTTTTGCAACCTGAAAATTGACATCAATTTTCATACTGAGGAAAATGTTCATTGCTCTCAACAGAAGGTTTTATTTATTCCTGAAATTCTCCAGAATGGGACATTTGAATAGTCCAACGCCTGAAGAATTTGAAACAGAATTTTAGACTTGTAATTAATGGTAGGAATTTCTTTACTGAAATACTCTAAGAATGAGTCAAGGCCTTCAAAGGCAATATTAGAATAACTTAGAGAATCTCTTTGGGTTGACTGTCTTCTTCCCCCTGCCGTGAGCTTACTCATTTCTACAGAACTGGGAAATCAGTGCAACTTGTGCAGCCTGACAGGGGCTCCTTTGCGTAGGTTAACAAGCAAATGAGGACCCTGCCGAGCACAGAGACAGTGGTATCTGAACATGAAGGACAGCTTGGGATACCAAACACTAAGAGTAACTTCAAGGACCTGCAGACAGGCATCTCTGTGGATTGTAGAAACATCAGACACGACTCATGCCCAGCCTGCATTTTTCATCTAAGACCTACTATCATGTCACTTCTTCCCTTTAATTTTAACATAGAGATTTGGTGAAGAAATAGATTCAGTTCACCAGCAAACAAGAAGTAGTTACTCTCACTGACCTCATGCCTGGTATTTTAAACCCCCTGCTGATCTGTTTCGAATTTTGTCCCGTGGCTCCTAGGAGGCCACTTAGAACCTAAGTAAAACTCCAGACTGATTTGACAGATATCAGGCAGGGCATGAAATGGGTCCTGCATTTTTTTAAAAAATTCTCTTATTTTCCTGAATTAGCAGCTATTTCAAATGTTAATACCTATAGGCCTTCCTTGGATTTACAATCACAAGAGAACATGCAAAGCTTAGACCCATCTTAGTCCTGTTTTGTGGCAATAAAGCAAAAAGTAAGAAAGGGGAAAAATGGGTGATACAGGCTGCAGATTGAGAGGTCGGGACACAGGTGGGGGTCATTTCTGCAAGTAAAGGTGCAATCTTTCCAACACTATTGACATTTCCTGGTGAATCCTCACTCGTGGAAAGTTCTTACTAATCACAAATCGCATACACATTGGCCATTCCTGACAAAAATCTTCATGCACAGTTATGACCTAATCAAGGCAACATGAAAAAACAAGAGAAAAATAATGAGGAGAAAAGAGTGGTCAACAAAACTGTTTAAAATTGCAACCAAGTCACACAGCCATTCCCCACTAGTATCTTCTATCCATTCAGTACTTCTAGACACTCAACGATGGAAATATTTCCGTAAGATGACAAATTATCACTATGGACAGCAGATACATTTCACTCTAGAATTATTTCAGACAAATGGCAGAGTATGCTGTTTAAGCAGGGGTTTTTGTGCCATCACATGTCTGTTCTTGAGCCAAGAAGACACAACCAATCACGAGCTCCAAAACCAGTGAAAAACACAAGCCAGGAATGATTGCACCTTTTTTAGCCATGGTTTGATCTTCAACTAGATGACCCGCTGTGTCATTCCCCGAAGAGAAAGTGAAATTGAGTCCTCTTATAAGATGTTGGGTTTACTCCAATAGCAAGCCAAACCCATTTTCTATGCTATCCCCAAACTGTTGCTTTTTGTCAAGAAAAATAAATCAAAATAAAGTAAATGGTAGCTCCTTTTAGTGAGAGCAAGCTGTCTTCTGATTAATAATATAGTTTTTAAAAAATCACGATATTACTTTCTTCCTAATATTTAACGTTACTTAATGCAGTTTCCTGCTGTAATTAATAGTAGCATGCTGTTGGATCTACTATTATCTCAGAGCCCAATGAAGCAAACCTTTGGCTGGCAGAGTAGACACAACTCATTTCATACGCTGAAGGCAAAAGAAAAGTTCATACAAAAGAGAAGAGTATTTGGATGGGTGTGCCATTACAGGATGTACTGACTGGGGGCTACTGGAAGCAAACGAGGGACAGTTGCAAGTCTTGCAAATCATACATCCAGTCAACATCATAGTGCAATGCACAAGAAGTCAGCAAAAACTGAATAGATGGGAGGTTTTGCTAAAATACTGTGGAAAAGCAAACACGGTAATTGTACAAAACTTGCTCTTGACATAACATAACAGAAAGGCACCATTGATATCTTTCTTGTTTTGAAATACTGTAAAAAATTGCTACATATGGCACATAACACATTTTTACATACATATATTTAATTTATAAAAGTTTTTTTTTCCTGTTTTCTATTTGCAGAACTGCTAAAATAAAATAAATTGTTTAATTTAAGGTGGAATACTTTATTATATAAAATAAAGTTTTACAGGTGAATCTATGTGTTTATTTAGGTTTTATACAGCAATAGGGTCTTGGTTAGCGATTACACTAGACAGCCTGGCCTGCAATTCTTCCTGTGTAGAAAAGCGGCCTGCTGGGTTAGTCCTGCTGTCAGCCAGGCGGAAGGCAGGTGCTGCCTCAAGACTGGCTGCCAGGGGGTTCTGTATGCCCAGGAAAGGTGTATCTTCACCTACTCTTTCATCTTCTGTTTCACTCTCTGAGTTACTGCTCTCAGCACTTGTGTTGCTGTCCATTTCCAATCTGTTGGCAATGTGGCCATTGGGCTTGGTTCTTTTGGCCCGCCGGCTATTGGCGAGTTTCTTAACAGGCTCTTGAGCTGGCTCGTACTCCTGGGTCGTTTCATACTCCTCATCCTCCACTATCCTCAAGGGGCTAGGGGGCAGGCTGTTGCTCTCATGCGCAGGGTTGTGGTGGAAGGAGTTGAATTGCTGAGAGTGGTGGTCATACTTCTCCCGCAGCCTTGGTGGGGTCACGAGTAGCAGAGGTCTCTCTTCTTCTACGAAGGGGCTGACTGCCATGGAGGGCATGGACACCGTCGTGCTGGACACTGGTGGAGACACTTCCGAAGGGGGCGATTTGGGGGAGCTTGGCGTGTGGAAATCTACAGGTGACATACGAGCTGGGGTGGTCATTGCTGACACATACCTGTGTGAGCACAGAATACCCGGCATAAGTGTGGTGGAATAAGAGGCATAGAGCAGGGAGGGTAAGGGGACAGAGTTCACAATATCATATAATCAGAGAACTAAGAATTTCTATTCATTGTATATGTCTCGATTTTTACACTAGGACATTCAGCACCCTTGGAATCTAAAATTATGTAGCCAAGAGTTTCCTTACAGGAGTACATGCAAAGATCAGCTAAATTGCCTAGCTCATCAAAGCTTTTGGGATTTTCAATCTCATCATGATTTTACATAAAAGCATGTGAGTCAAGATAAGAGGCCACCAGGTCCCGGAAACCTCTCAGTTTATAAAGACCAAGGCTCAGGGATTTGGAAGGGAAAGAAGTATTACTTAAATACTATACCTTCCTAAAGGCCAAGGGGTCTTAGAGAATGAAGCCCAAATGGGGAATGGAAGAAGATCTAAGATGAGTTGCTGATAGCTGGATCTGCATGCATTTGGATCTGTGTGCCTTGTTTCTCCTTAGCTCAGCTATAAGGTTATGTCTTATGAAAAAAAAAGAGCATAGTAACTTAGATTTATTCCTGATAACAGTGAAACACATTTGTGTGCTTTTAATTTTTCCATGAAATACTACTTCTTAACATTCAATTTGCAACTATCCATCCCAGTGACCAAGACATTCAAAGATAAGCTGAGAGAACCTTATGTTGGTTTCGATGTTCAAACTCCAGTTTGCCTCTCTTCCAAAACCCACAGCCGCATCAGTCTTTGGGTTATCTTTTGTGACTCCCCAAGGGTTGGCTGGACCATGTTACCTTATGTCATGTTATATGTCTGATAATGCTCAGGGACTCTCATTGTCAAGACATCAAGTGCATTGTTTTTACCATATCATGCTTTCTTCCCCCAGAACAAGAAGACCTGACTTGGCACTGAGGAAGATGCGGTTTATTCAGAGTCACATTCCTCAGCTTTGATAAAAATGTTACCAATACATAACACTAAAGGACTCTTTTCTTCACATTGGCATTCACAGAGTCTAATTTGACATGACCTGTGATGACACGGGACACCATCATCTGAACTTCAGCTAACAGGAACAGGAAACCTATTAACTTTCCTGCTTTTCAGCCATGATTCAGAGTCATATGGATGTGAGATCTAGCTGTATCTAAAATGGGAAAGTGTCTAGAGATTGAACTATTTGGGGCTTGAGTCTTCAGACTTTGCTTTGGCAATACTTAAATTAAGCTCTCTGAGAAATGCTAATCCAAATTCAACCAACACATAAAAGGGATTCATGTTTTCTCTCCATGATCTCTAGGTTCAGGTATATTTTTCAGTCCTAGATGATATCTGGGGTGTGCAAGGAAGCCTACCACAGCAGGGAAACGTCAACCTTTAAAGATAAACATCACATGTAGTGACAAAGAAAGAATTTATCCCTAATTTCTTTTCAAGGTTTCAAAAAAGATTGAATTAGGACAGATAGACTTCCTTAATACACAAAGATATAATTATATGAATTTAAGACTAATGTTTTAAACCAGTTTTGGACCATGTCTACTTTTTCATAGATGAGTTACAGAGCAACTCCTAATTCCATAAAGCTCTGAAATCCCATTTTGGCGTAAGGGTCCTTGAAGAAGTGGGCAGCAGGCTCTATATGTCCTGCAAGGCCAGAACTAGTCATCCTTTGTTGTAACTACTTCCCAGTCCGTGAGTGGAAAGAGTCTATCAAAATGGCCTCCAACCATGTAACTACCAAATAAGTAGGGATTTGACATTATGTAAACCTTTTAGCAAGTGGTCAAAGATTAGACTGAGATGACAATAAAGTAAACAAACAAACAAACAAAACCCCACTGGATTTGAAAACAAACAGCTAACTGATGGGCTAGAAATGCTGGTTGGTAGAACTCTCTCAGTTTAGGTGAAAATGGATAAAGAGAATCTATGTATTCAATAGTCCTATTAAGTATCTCTTTTAGTTTACTTTCTTCTGTTCTTTATTTTACCTTTTCTATAACTCCCCCAACCCAACCCAATATATCTAGAATAAAGCCAAACATTCTGGAATAAAGGGCCATATCAAAGCCAATATTTGCTTTGAAAACCAGCTGTGAAGACTGCCAGATGCAGCACACAAAAGATTTATTTATTCATCCCTTCTTGGAAATTCATCAAAAGCATACTATATGGTGGAACACATGCAGGTGTTCCCCATGGCAGCCAGCAATGACATAGCCCTTGACTTAATTTAACTGAGGCTGGAAGGTAAGAAAGAGTTAGCACTGGAGAACACGAGCCAGCTCGATCAGAATTCGGATAACTGGCAAATTGGAATTATAGAAGCGTCCTTATCAATCATTGATCCCATCTCTCTAAAGTTATAACTGAGAAAACTGAGACCCTGAGTGGGTCTGAGCCTAAGGTCAGAGCTGGGAACTCCAAGATTGCTGCGCCTTCCACATCAAGTCATTACAGCTCTTTAAGAGTTTGTTGCCTGTCAGCCACTGGGACGACATGAGAATCTCAGAAGAAATGAGTTCAGTCAAACAAAAACATGACTTCATCAACTAGAAGCACTCCTAGAACACGGAACTGCCGCCCCTTATTCTCATTAGAGTAGACTTCCTTAGGTGAGACCGCAGGTGCTCATGGGGATTCTCTTACTGGGGTTCTTTCTCCTCTGCAGTAGCTTTGCCCCCTCCGTTTTACCTTTCACTATGAGGAGAGTCTCGGTAGGAGTCAGGGGTTTCTCTGGCATGCCTGAGGAAGCTGTTACATTCACGAGGGCCTCCCATGCCATTAAGACGTCCTCTTGGGCCCCCCGTTGGGCTGCTGTGCCTACTGTTTTCTACTGATGACATCATGATTACAGAGTGGCTTTCCGAAATGATGCTTTCAGTGTGTCCATTGCTCCAGCTAGAGGGGAAATGCAACAGGCAAAGAGGTTTTAAAAAAAATATTATATGCAAAAATGGAAATGAAAGCAAGTGATCTGACAAATATTTCAAATGATTGGTCCATCAGTAGATCCCTACATTACTTGTCTTAGAATAGAATTGTTATAAAGATACTTGCTTGAGAAAGGATCTTGAATTAGATAGGTTTTGTTTATTCATTTGTCCACCCACTCAACACATATTTACTTATCAAATGCCACTGTGTACAAAATATTCTTAGAGTCTGTAGGTTCTTGAGTGGCTTGGGTTAAGGAGACACTTTGTCCTATGAGCTTCATATGGAAGTCTAGTGTTGTCCTTGGTAGCATGCTCTCAAATATAGGTCACCAGGGCATTTAAGAATTTAGGGTCCAGCTGTCTAATCAATTTTCATGTGCATTTCTCAGGGCAATCCAATCATCGGAAGAAGTCAACTTCTAAGTATTATATAGCATCTAAGACAGAGATCCCCAGTGTAGCAATTCAGTGAGTGGTTGAGAATGAGTCAAGACAATCTCTAAAATGGGGAACAACAATCCTGTGAGGTAGGTATTATTTTCCCTTTTTAGGTAATGGAAAAATTGAGGCTCAAATTTAAATAGCAAAGAAGTGGCAGAGCCAGCTATTGTCCAAAGTCTGTTTTTGTCCCAAACCATACATTTTACTATACCTCACTGCCTCATAAGTGTCTCGTCTTCCTTTCTGAGGCAGTGAGATAAAAGGCCATGTGTAAAATCCATTCTTGGAGAAGCGTCATGCAATATTTTTATTCCCATACCTGTGACTAGGAGTCTGGGTGACAGTAGTGGAATGATGAGCTGTTGAGGTATAGTGACTGGTGGAAAAAGATGTCTCCACTTCTCTCTCAACAATATGCTCACTAGAGATGACATTTTTAGATACGTATTGCTGGATAAACAAAGAGACACAACTTGAAGATTCATGTAAATCAAAATACTAACACTGTCACACACAAAAAATCTATTCTAGTACACATGCTTCATAATAAATTCTATTTCTCCAATGGCCAGATGGCAAATCCTATCCTGGCTACCGTGGCCTTTCGATTCAATGAATGGAGTTAATGAATTACTCTTCGGTTGTTCACACAATGTAGGTCCTACAATCACAACTACATATTATCAGAAACAGACATAGTTCTCAGATTTTGTTTCTAATTGATAACTTGACTAGAATTCAATACAAATATCTGCCCAATATTCATTTTTGTCATGGTTGTTGCAAGAAAACTAACAGATATTTGAGTGAAACAAAAGCATGGAGATGTTTTGTTTTATTTCAAATTTCAAGTGAGTAGAAGATTTTTTTCTTTCTTTTTTTTTTTTTTGGTGAAGAAGATTAGCCCTGAGCTAACGTCTGTTGCCAATCCTCCTCTTTTTGCTGAGGAAGATTGGCCCTGGGCTAACATCTGTGCCCATCTTCCTCTACTTTATATGTGGGACACCACCACAGCGTGGCTTGGTAAGTGGTGTGTAGGTCTGATGCCCGGGATCCAAACGTGCGAACCCCGGGCCGCCAAAGTGGAGCGTGCAAACTTAACCACTACACCACCAGGCCAGCGGGCCCCAAAGATTTTTTTTAAATCTCTATATTTTGGATATACCTTTTTCTTTCAATTTCCCAGTGCCCATGTTGCCCTAATGATATCACTGAAATTTTTAACTTATTATCAGTGGTAAGACTAACAAGACTACTGAGAGATTTGAAGGATTTAGAGCAGTTGTCAAGGTCACACATCTTGCAAAGCACATAATATATAGAAGTCCTATATACAGTGCAAGTAGATTCTACTTGATTTTCATCACCAAAATCATAGTAGCTCTTACTGCCTTCTATCAGTGAAAGAGCCACATTTTGAAATTGTGTTTTAAATGCTGTTAGTATTTACACCAAATTGAGTTCTGTAACAGGAAAAGATATGGAAAGAAATACTCTTAAATGAAACAGGATACTTTATAATCTGATGGGCTGTGGGCTCTAAAAGAACCTGATATATTCACGGAAACCCCAAAAATATACAACTTGAATTATGCTTGAAAGTCTAGCTGGTTCTCTTAGTGGAAAGGCTATTCCATGAGGATCTTTCTGGGACGTACAGTTAGCTGGCTTTAAGGAAAAGATGGTGATGTCATACATAATGGGCTATTTATAGTCTGTGTACCATTTCACTCTTGCTCCTTGGAAGGTAATGTAAGCTCAGTGAATCTAATGAAAATAATATTTAACAATTATTGAACACTCACTAAATGCCACTGGGCCAAGTGTTTTACATAGATTATTTTATTTAATGCTCACAAGAACTTTTTGAAGTAGGTATTATTTTGAGGCCTGTTTTCATAATAAACAAATAGGGTTTAGAAGAGTTAAAGGCTAAAGTCACACAGCGTGAGCCATAAGTGGAATCCAGGCAGTCATTCTGCCTCCTCTGTATTACAACACACATAGCGACAGTTATAGGTGTGTCTGTAGTGAACGCATTTATCAACTGTACAGAACATTCTCATGAACACTGCAGAGCGAGGAAGGCAGCAAAGTATGTTAAGATATTAGCACCTGACTCTAACAGTCTCCTGAAGGTCTTTGCTATAAGACTCGCTGGTGGTTCAGTAACTGCCAGCTCTGAACTTGGATCTATGATGTATTTGCTCCACACAAAATATACCTTTTTCTATAGGATAGAAAATGGTACTACAATATAATCTTCAAGCTTTGCTTATAAAAAGCCAAACATCACAGGGAAATGAAGACAACAAGAATTATGGTGGGAGAGGAAGAGCAAGACTTCAAAACCCAGGAAAGCTGAGTCCAGCTCTGGCCCTTATCTATAAAAAAGGAAGGTTTGAGGGGCCGGCCCAGTGGCATAGTGGTCAAGTTCATGTGCTCCACTTTGGTGGCCCGGGGCTCACAGGTTTGAATCCCAGGCACAGACTGATGCACTGCTCATCAAGCCATGCCGTGGCTGCATCCCAATACAAAGTAGAGGAAGATTGGCAACAGATGTTAGCTCAGGGCCAGTATTCCTCACCAAAAAAAAAAAAGGGAGGTTTGGAAGATGATATCTAAAGACTCTCCAGAATCTAATATTCTGTGACCTAGTTATATTTAAAAGCCAAGTGCTCAGTAAATTTGAAACAAAATACTTGAATGATTAAGGATCTATTTCGCCTGGAGGGTTTGGCATCATGTAGAAAGAGTCAGAGAATAAGAAAGCATCATGTTTTTCCAGTTTTGCTACTGAGAGGCAAGTTTGATAAGACACTTGACCTTTACATTCCCTAATTTCTTCCTTTGTAAATCAGTAGATCATTAGGCACTGTGGAATGCCTCTAATAAAAATCGCTCTAAAGCCCTTAGCTCAATTACCAGTACTAATCAGTTATAGACTGGAGGAGCCTTCATTGCCAAATTATAAAAAATAAAACATTTCCGTCTGATTCTTGTATCATTAATTTTATTATTTTTCTTTGTGTTTTTCTTTTCTTTCTTCCAGTTCTGACCTCCCTGCAGAACGAATCCAACATTACTGTTCCAACCCCTTAATGAACACTTCATAAGAGGAAATGTGCTAGTTTTACGGTAACCAAATCCACTTTGAAAAATGTTCCCATTATTTTCTCCTGGCACACCCCTGGAGTCCTGGAAGCCATGGTGATTAATGGCAGGAGCTAAGAGCCTAAGAGCTTTAGGAAATAAACTTCAAGGTGCCTGAACAGAGGAGAGATGCTCAGCGTTTCCACTGGCCAGAGTCAACATACATTCACCAGCTGGACGTTCTCGGGGGGTGGATTAGGGTGGTGAGGCCCGTTGGCTATGTTCACCATGTTGTTCCGTTCAGACCGAAGACTCTGCCTAAGCCGGTCATGAAGCTTTTTCCGCTGTTTCCTGGACGTGAGAAAGGAAGCATTTATTTTTCTACTATTTACATTTCTTAGTACAGTCAATTCTTTATTCTACAAACATGTAACTCAGGCAGTGGATCAGTGGTGAGGGAGGGGCAGGGAGGTGTGCCACTCCGTCTTAGAATCTGCCTATGGGCAGCGGTGGAATCACACATTCTTAGCAAATAGATTTAAGAAGCTGGATGGGATTCCTACAGAAATCTAAGTGGACTGCTGAGAAAGAAGAAAAAAAGAGAAGAGGAGATGAGTCATCTTCTTATTTGGCTATTGGCCTGATGTTTGGCTAAAACTCCAACTTTCCTAATCAATCCACCTTTGCCTAAGTCTTACAGATGGTCATTTGTCTTAGGTAACAATTTGTGCTGTGCAATTGAGAAGGCTCACTTTGTTTACAGCTTGTCTGAGTGTCTCTTAAGAAAATGCAGTTAGTTTTGAATCTGTACATCATATGTAGTGTATGTGCATGTACAGTACCGTGTGTGAGTGAAGATATGTACATATTTTGCCAGTAGATTTTGGCACAATTGTAACATGATCCTACTCTACTAACACCGTTTTGTATAACTAGGTAATGAATATTGAAATACTGAGATTGAATCTAATAAGACTCATAATGTGGATTCCATGAAGGCTTATCTCTATTGCTTACTCAAATCTGGCCACACACTCAATGCTGGGGTATTAAGAAAACACCATCCATGCCCTTGACTTTATGGTATAAAAGCGTATTGTCTTTGCTTCTCAATGCAACATTCAGATCATAATAATATTCCCATGGCTAGTTTTGGCAAGAGAGTTCATGTGATAAAATAACAAAACAAAACAAACTTAATTAACGTTATTTCAGACTTGAAGTGGAAGTTCTATGTAAGAGAGAAAAGTGAAGGGAATTCATGTCATACAGTAATCATATTTGTTAATATGGACCTAGCTTAAAGGACCAAGCATAGTGAAAGCAAATCTGTTTTAATGTTTTCTCTTTTATTCTTTCAAAGCAAGTTGTGTTTGATTTTTCCTCCCATGAGATTCCTTTTGTACATCTCACACTTTGAGAGCATCTGAACTGCTAACCTAATTAGACAGCATTGAAAAATAATCACTATAACGTTTAGAAAACTGCATTGCCAACACCACAAAGAGTTTCCTTTCTCTCTTAAGTCTGAGTACAACTGGACGTGTCCCCAGCAGCGACATGACAAGCACACCTTTTGGCACCCACCCCCCCTCCTCTCAGGATGTGGTGCTCATACCCACAACCACACACGCATGAGTGTGTCCCCATACAAGCCTGTCCCTCCAACCCTTTCTTCAGTCACCGGGCTGTGATCACTTATCAGAAGTCGTCTAACGCTTCACACAAATAGGCAAAGCTTTCTAATGTATGTGACTAGGGAAGGTCCTCAAAATGGATTATTCGGAAGAGAAAATAAGGAGAAAAGTCCCCCTGGGGCCCCCCACCCTTTTTTTCCAGACTAGGCTGTGGAGCCTGGTTTCTGCAAAGCCCTTGGCAGCTAAGCTGTCTGCGCGCTAAGGAGAGCAGGCGTGGAGGAGGAAGGTTTACTTGGTTTTGCAGTAGGCCACCACACACATGATGCCAACCACAAGCAGGGCGATGCAGATGCCGGTGATGGTCAGCACTCTCTTCTGATAGAGCTCTTCCGCTTCTGGAAAGGGATGAGAGCAGGTGTCACCAAAGGTCCCTCACCCTTGCCAGGACTTACAACTGAACAGTTGGCATGCTGCATGGCATTGTCCATGTTCACAAGAAAATAAATATGTGACAATTCATTACTTTTGCAGACATACTTAAGGTACAGCATACTCTGTACTACACTTTGAGCATAAACAGCAAAACCAGCTGGGGCCATTTATAATAAAAACTATTATACTATAAAATTACTTTAATTATAAGCTATAGATATATATGCATTAAACTGGCAAATCACAAACATTTATTATAAAATAACTATTTGGCTAAAACTGTAGTTTTTATTTTTAAAAAATCTCTTGCAAAATCTCTTGCAAAGACAACAGGAATCAATGCCAATAAAAGAAGCTGGGATTGGCATCATTGGGGCCCTCCCCTCCTCCGGCCTTGCTTCTTCTCCCACCCAGACTCTTGATTTCCCAGCTATTTTATATTCCGGCGGTCTTTACAAAGAGCCATTTTTAACTTAAAAAAAATAAACTCAAAGACATTTGCAAACATGAGCTTGACTTGTAGTTAGTGACAAAATCGAAGCAGGATCCCCAAGATTGACAGTCAAATTTGAACATAAGCAATACAATGCGGAGTAACAGGGCACTGTATCAGAGAAAAGCCAATATGATGGGTAGGGTAGTCCTGGGCCAGGATGAAGATTTGTCCTTTGAGGGACAATTATTAACACTTCACCAATTGTTCTCAGAGGCCTAATTTATCTGTATAAAGAAACCACTAGTGCAAATGATGCGTGATTTGGAATAGATTGTACATTCCTGCATTGATCAACTTGGCAAATTAGCTAAGGTAGGTTACCCCAAGGGAGTGTGACGCTTAGAACTTTGAATTAAAGGTACTACTGTACCGCAAATGCAACCAATCTCTTATTCATGGAGTCTTTCTATTTGCAAATCAGTTTTGGGGGGGGATTACTGGATTATACTGTGGTAGGTCAGGTTCTTAACAAGATGGGCTGATTTAATGGTGAACCTGATCCCTTAGGAACTGAGCTTCCAATCAGTCTAATTCCACTTATTTACAGATATTCACCCGTTCACTGAGAAAGAGAACTAGACTGGTGCACAGTGAGCGCTGTAACTTGCTATTCTGATTGATAAGCTGGTCACGAACTGGAGAATCTTATGCAAATGAAGGGCTCTCATCTGGACATCAATGTGCGGCCTTCTAGAACATTTCCAAGTTACACCTTCATCTCAGCAACCACACCTTTGTCTCTATTGAGAAAGGGCAAGTGGCAGGAAATTTTCTAGAAATGAAAAAGTGCATTTTAATTTCTATGATACAGTAGACTTGACCATTAAACAAAACATTTCCTACAAGCCAAGCCCATGGTAATCAAATTCCAGTTAACAGGTCAGGAACATTGTCAAATTAAATTAATATAGCATTGATTATTAACAGGAGGAGGAGAATCGAAGTCAGTGGGTAAAAGACTAGGATGCCGCAGAGATTATACAAAAACAAACCAAAGGGTTGGAAGTGGAAAGGAAAAACAAACCAAGAGGACAGACAGACTGACAGAATGACGGAGAGAGGGAGGAAGTCAGGTACGAGGGAAAACAAGGTTAAAAGTGAAGGAGCCATCTGAAGTCCCTGGCACAGCATGCCTGATACTAAGGGAGGAAAAATAAATAAAGAAAAGAAAACCAGAGGGAGGAAATGCTCAGGGAGGAAGAAAAGGTGGATGCAAAGTTGGAAGGGTTATCCCATACAGCATAACTCCTAACCTACGCTGGCGGTCACGTGGAAGCCACAATTAGAGAGCAAAGCAGCTGGTGCATTGCAGTGAAACAACGAACCAGCAGGCATCGAGTGATGTCACATATTTTCGTGCCGCAAAAGTCAAACCAGGACGTGGAACGTGAATGCTGATATATTAATTGCTTGTGTCTGCTGCCTCCCCTCCCCCACAGCCACAGGACAGGGAATTCAATTTTATGAGGTGTTAATCTGTGAGCTGGAGCATCCTCCTTGACCTGGCATTCAGATCAGTTTTTGGCATTTATGTCTAAGAAGCAGTAGGGTCACCCCACTGGTCCTTCTCCATGGCACCAAGATGCAAAGCAGGGCTCCTTCGGCTGTGAGGAGTTGGTTAAGAAACAGGAGTATAAAAATGTATTGTTGCCAAGATAATGAAAAGTCTGCTTTACCATGGCTTCTTTCACTTACTCTATTTTTTCTCCTTTTAAAACGGTAAGAGTTTGGTCGCACTGACATCTTAACATTCTATCTTTAGGAAAAGCTGGGAAATTGCTTCTGCAAACTACAAAAATGGGACCTAACCAAGGACTAACGGGGGAAAAGCATCATGCATACTCTCAGAGATTCTTTTGACAAGTTTTTTGGTTGTTGTTAATTATAAAAAAATAGATTGGGGTTTGTGAACAAATGGTGTATGATGAGTCACCCATTCTTCCTGTGTTATGTAGGAAGACACACATTTTCCAGTAAAATCAGTCATGGAAATAAAAAGGCAGCCCAATAAAGGTCAAAGGGTAAAGCAGAAGTGCTAAGATGAACCAATTAAAGCCAAGACCCATAGAATACAGACGTGGGATGAGGATTCTGTATTCACATCGGCATTTATTAAATGTGTTACATGTTTCTCATCTAAGATTCTATTTAATTTTCCAGTGGTTGACTAGATCAGGTGACCTCCACAATATGAATGTGTTAAAAGAGAAATACTTGATGGACAATAATATAAACAATGGGTTCTCTTAACCCTTTTTGTCCCTTATTTTTTTTCCTAGTGTGACAGTGTCAATAGGGCAAGAGTAGACTAGAGGCAGCACTGAAAAATAGAATCCTTCAGTCCAGTTGGCAGATCTGCATTAATGAGTGGAAATGCTTCTGAGTCTTTACTCTAGATCTGGCGAGACACATTGAAGGGAATCACATCAAGCAACGTTTTCCAGTCTGATCTGGCCAAGACCAAGAGACAGAGGCCTTATCTTTCTCAATTTTAATTGACCTTTAAGGTCTGACTTTCCTTAAGGATGCAACGTTCTGGCTTAGTACACTGGCTGCCCTGGGACTGTGGAGCCTCTGGAAGGTTTGTCTTTAAGAGGTGCAGATACCAGCACAGTGTCTTTACTAATCCTTAAGATCTTACTGAGGGAGAAGTTGTATATCTGAACTCTCCTTTACCCTACTTCATTGTGTGGAAATAGAAATATTAAGTTCTGTAGTCAGACCCTAAAGCAACAAAGCAGGAAAGATGCTGTTAGGGAGAAGTGGGGAGGTGATGATAGAATTTTTTTCCTCCTTGCAGGAAAGGCCAATAAGCCTTTTTAGAAGCAGAACAATTTTTATCCCAGTAACCTGAATAGATCACTCCCCTCACGTGGATGACCTGCTACCCATGCTTCTCACCCTTGGGAGGTGTTCTCAGATGTGCAAAAGTCCACGTACATAAATGTGGGGGTTTTCCCATCAAATGAATAGTTTTCTCTTGGAATTTTTTTGGTGGAATGGGCAAGTAATTGAGTTTCTATCCCTGTAATTGCTACAGCTTGCAACATCCTGATTTTCCACGAATGATGGAACATACATTAGGAGTAGACTGTGATGTTATCATCCAAAAGAAAGCAGCACCTGTAGGGTGCCCTCACTGCATGATGTCACTGATACCAGCTGGATGGGGATCGGATATTCTGTTAATCAGGACTCTGCTTTGTTGACCCACTACCACCTTCCAGGGCTGTATGCAGTGTTCAAGAAGCCCTGGGGACCTGCATCATGGAGCCTCTGGGAAGATAGCATGGCTACCCCCTCCTTCTGAGACTCGTCTTTTCTCCCAACTATTTAGGATGAAGGCCTTCAAAAGGAGTACACCCCAAATTTATATGCTCACAGGAGATATTTGATGTTTACAGTGTGAAAATTCTATTCGATTACTTGTCTGGATAATCTTAGTGACTCAAGTTTAATTCCATTAGCACTAGAGTTTCCACCTAAAATAGCACAAGGCTCATTTCTTTCTGTTTTCTATTTCCTTGCTCACAAGATAATGAAGTTGACTAGAGTAGTGCTTGAATATCTCCAGAAAATCAGAGTAATTCAAAGTCTGGGCATATAATATTGTGTTGCAATGTAAGGGCTATGTTACTATATTAAATAGTAAATAGTGATTTTTACATTGTATGTTAAACTCTCATCAGCCTAAGATGAAGTGTGTGTTTAAGCAGATGCATTTAAAGCCTCTTTTGTTCTCAGGCCCCTGGTTGGGTTCCTCCCGTAGCCTTCTGTACGGCTCCAACTTACCCCAGCTCTGAAATAACAGCATGGCCAGAGCCAACCAGTGGGTCAAGGAACATGGGATATATGTGAATTTGCAGCAGGTGAGGTGATTTTAAACTCTAAGTGAAGCTTGGGAATCTAAAAGCTGCTGCCCTCAGTAACGCGTGAGTAAACTAATCATAGATTGAAAGCAGAGAAATCATTGTTATAGCTGTATGATCCCTTCTAAGGAGAAAGGAAATTAGTTAGGAACTGAAAGGTAAGAGTAGGAACGGAAAAGATTTCAGCTCATAGGCTCTAAATTCTGCAGGCTAAAAGGAATGATGATTGGTCCATACCCATAAATTCAATCCCAAGATGCTCTGCCAATGCAGAAAGTTGACAAAAAAAGAAAGAAAGGGAAAAAGTTTCAGAAAAGAGCAATACACTGCACTCCAAAACACATTACACATGACTATTACGGCTCTCTGTGCGTGCACATTGAACAGGACAAATGGGTGGTTAACGAAGCAGTGCTCAGGTACGCCTCCTAGAGTCCACATAGGGAACTTCTCTTTTAAGAGGTGTGCAAATACCGGCACACTGTGTCTTTATTAACCCTTAAAAGACCTTACTGAGGGAGAAGTTATATAGCTGAGCTGTCCTCTATGCTACTTCATTGTTTGGGAATAGAAAGATCATATTTATAATGAGAAAAGG